TTTTCTTCTTTTTTTTTTTTTTTCTCTGCCCTGTTTATCTTTCTATATCTAAAGCTTATATACTTCTCTATCCGGAATCTCTGTCTCATGAGTAGTTCTGTTGTTCAGTATCCATTCTAATGCCTCCGGTGGATCCATCCGGATCCCCATAGATATTTTACCAGGGGCATATCAGTATTGTTCGGAGTTGTCTCAGACGACATATATACATGTGTGACTAGTGTGAGTATTGAGGCTTATAATGAAGTAATTATGAACGGTACCAATTTGAGGGAATTGACACCGTAGGTATTGCCATTCATGCTTGCTTATGCCAATTCTGTCCCTTGAACGATAACCACTCCTACCATTAAAATACTTGTGCCTTCACCCTAAAGCCGATCCCAACGGTCCCATATTCATGCCTTAAAGAATTTAATGGGCTCTTATCCAAGTTCATCAGGTAAAGTGTGATTTGTTCAAGCCGAGGAAAAGAAGCCCGGCCGTGCACCAATCGTGCCAAGTCCAACAGCAGATCAGGATAATGATCCTCGTCAATTTCCAGAACTTCCAGATTTCTAAGGGAGGAGGGAAGTATATCAACGAGCGGCCCTTTGAACTCATGAATTGAATCGGGAGTGGACGGCTGCACGAGGTGAACATATCGCATCCGCAGATCCTCGAGGACAGCAAATTCCTTGAGAGACCCGAACGGTCCAGCATCATCTGCAATATTGCTTGCGCACTCATCCGGAGACCAGTGATCGGCTTCTAGGTGAAGCGTTCTGAGCGTCCTGGTGAACGGAAGAAGAGCACTTCGGAACTCCGGGGCTTTGAACATGTCCTCATCTGGTAATTCCCAGTCGTCTCGGTGACACGAAAGCACAAGGGCAATGCGCTCAAGTCCTGTGCTCGCTGCGAGCCAGTCGAGCATACCGTGGCACCTTCATGCTGCTAAAATTGTAAACTCTCTAACCGGACGTGAAGAATGGCTGATATTAAGAGACATTTTGTCGGAGTCGTCCCGGCGGAACTCGTCGATTGGGCTGCCATAGATCTTTCGAACCGCAGGGAAAAAGAAAAAGGGCGTGAGAAAATCCGAGCTAATCCATTCATTACCACATTGAACATGGACAAAAATTTCTTGTAAATGTGGAAATGGAGGGGTCTGGTGGAAGGGTCGCTAGCGCCGTGCTGCCTTGCGCAAGATGTCTGACATCAATTCAAAGCACCCGTGGCCGAACTCGATTGTTTCTAGATGTGTCAAGCGGACGAGAAGCAAGCCCAACCAAGCCTCTTCGCATGGGACAAGCAGATGTTCTCTCCATTTGGACCTGGATTTTTCTTCCTCTGGTTCGAATCTCTCATCCAGTGCATTGGACAGCTTCGTCGTCGTCCAATCCGTCACCGGGTTCATCTACACAAAGCGTCCAATAAAGCTCCAAACGGCGCACTCGACTAGCCAGCTCAGGGCGTCTCCAGAGACGTATAATTAAACGAAGGAAATGGATAGACCGGCGAGGCCGGATGTGAGAATAAAGTAAAGGTTGAAACACTGTATACAATCGCCGAGAGCACAAGGTCAGCGAACGCAATGTTCTCGTAGGCTACCATCTTTCCTAGGTGTGCGTAGTATTTAAGTATAAGCTAGGATTGGAGAAAACCCCTTGCGTCATTCTAGGTTACAATCGCTGGGAGTGTTAGGCATCAGCTAGAGCAACCTGCAGTTCAACTGAACATTTGCCTATCCAAATATGTCAATAAAACACCAATCTGTGTGTTAATCGAGTGCCCCAAAATCCCCCCGGGCCCTTCTTCCTTTCCACTGAACCCTCACGACACTGCACCGAGTACCCGGACTCAGATAATTCTAGTCATCTTCACCTGTATCCATCTCGTATACATTCTAACATGAATGATGTCAATAAAGAAGTTCTCCAAGCTATTGGAGAAGGGCGTACAATCCGAATCGTTGTTGATATACCTACCAATGTCCTAGACCCTGTGGACTACTTAACTTCGGCGACAAATATCATCAAGCCACTAATGACAGAGTGGGAAAAGGGAAACTTGTCGCGACTACTTGTCGTCGACGTATACCCAAAACACACATATGTTCTGATCGATATCAATAATCGCCGTTACGACTACCATATAGCTCATAAACAAACCTATATTGTCCCTATCTACATTCTCCGCCTGTCCCGGAACAGCAGCAAGTGGATTTTCTTCAGACGCGCGATCGATGACCAACGGACTGCCAAGGACCTTGCAGAGCTGCATTGGTGCAATGGCCAAAATCCGATCCCTTTCCTGGTAGATCATATCAGGGGACCCGTGTATCGGTCGCATAGAACAACCTAAGCGGCCCCATTTGGTCTTTGGATCTATGATCGGACTCAAACCGGTCGACGAACGGAAAATAACTGTCGCATTTTTACGTTAGTGACGGCAAAGGAGCTCAGAATTGATCAAGTATTGGATTAAAAATCAACAAAACACGTATTTCTATGCTCTACCATACTACGTCGCATGAATAATGGCTGGAATAGTGCACATCAAGTAATCCATTTGCAGCTGTTCCTATAATTACGCTAAAGCTGAAAACCTTGTTCTAAATTTTTAAGATATCGGACGGTATCTCGTAGTATTAATTAAACTACTAGAGGCCTAGGCGTCCTCGACTACACACCGCATGTTTAGCTAGGAAATTCTATTGTGATGGTTCATGCCGAACAGTAGTATTACGACGATCACGAACTCCCGAGCAATGATTTGCGGTTGAAATGCCCGTATGCCCTAGAGATCGATCTCTGTTGACCGACACAGCCACATTTCTAATTGGAGAGACAAACCGTCCCCGCACGGTAAACCGTGGTCGGAAGACCTACCGAGGGGGTAGCGGTGAAGTCTGACAACTCGGTGGGCCGAATGGGTCCCGAGAATCCTATTCGGTGCTAGCTTGCATTGACCATCCGAATGAGTGCAAAGAGATCCTTGAGGTTGAACTCCGTAGATAAGCTGGTCAAATACGCATTCCGGGGTGTCTTCCGAGTCGAAAGAAGTGCATAATCGCTGTACTATCATAGGCTATATTCCCTGACCATTATATGAATTGGACCGCTTCAATTGGAGTTAGTATCTAATGCTCACCTGTGCTAGTTGCACCGAGACAAGAAATTTCCTCGCTCCTAACTATACTCCCCAGGCACAAAGTACTGTATACGGAACTCATTCAGAATCAGTAGTATTGTCCCAAGCCTTCAAGACATTCCTACATATATTCGTCGCCAACAGAAAACCCGAGTGCAAAAAACCGCCGAAAAAATTCTGCACTACACTAGTCTAATCTTGGAAGAACAATATAGAATCATATCCAACTGATGCCGAACATCGCCTGATAGTTAACACCCTCACGAGGGGTACCGTGAGGGGTACAATTGACATCTCCAACCTGCTTACCGTCCAGCTACACTCTATTGGGCAAGTTTTGTCTCCTTTATCGCAACTTTTTCATCGAGTATCCACTGTTGATACACGGGAAGTTTTTTGGTGGGCCGCGGTATCACGTAATTTCTACCGTACTTCGTTGATGTGCACGGGCACTTAACGGGATGGAGTCGTGCATTAATGGCTGTATTTACTTATGCTCATGTATTGATTTGCTGGGGATCATTGGCAGGGGGTTGAGTACTGGCTGTAGTATATTGATATTCGTTGTACTATGGTGAGTGCACAACTGTTAGGCTGGGAGAAGATGGATGTTCAAGTTCACTTGGTACTAACTACGATATGGTTATATATAATGGGAACTTGATAAGAAATGCATAGTAGTAATCCTTCAACACTATCCAGTAAGATGATACCCAGCTTCCACATACTATAGACGGACAGACCCGCAACATATAGCTATCAACTGGATAAAGAAAGCTCGGAACTTAGTGACATTAAAATTGAATTGAATCTAGAAGGAAGTCTAATAACCCAACCGATATACATATGTACATATAGCCGACGTGATAAGCGTCAAAATCATGAAATGGAGCACCCCCACACAGTATTCACCTGCATTCAGCCTCATACCGTGACCTGGACCTTAACTGTAAGGAAAAGTAAACCCCCCAACTTACAGTCTGGCAGATCCACTCAACTTGGCGGAGATCAGTCTGCCAATCTCCGGATCAACCTTGTTAAACAGGTCGATGACAGCGGTCCTCAACTCTGTGGGGAGGGCCACGAGAGTTTCCGAGATGTTAGACGCGCACAGTCTCCGTTCGGCATCGTCGAAGACGTTTCTCCACAGAGCTCTCGGCTGCACGAAATCTGCGTCGGTCACAGGGATATTGTTCAATCCTAGAACAGCTCCTTTAAGGAACTCTCCATGGCGCACGTCTTGTGTGGACTGCTGGCTCTGGACTGCAGGCTTAGACGTATTGGGGGTATAGTTCGGGTCTGCGCCGTAGTTGCTGGTCTGGGTCAGACCGTCACGCTCAAATGGAGCATATACAGGGGCCACGGGTCGGTTTGGTGGCAGATGTGTGTAGTTGGCTCCGAGACGGTAGCGTTGGGCGTCAGGGTAGGCGAACATGCGGGCTTGGAGCACTATTAAAGGGTTTATCAGCACTAGATTCGAAATGTGTTTAGCGTAATAAACATGGGGAATCACATACTGGGATCCGGCGTGAAGGTGATACCAGGAACCATGTTGGATGGAGAGAATGCTGCCTGCTCGATTTCGGCGAAGTAGTTGGCAGGCTAGATATGTGTATTAGTATGAAATGCACCTCAGCTCGGGGTCGAAGAAGCCCTTACGTTTCTATTCAGTGTCATCTTGCCAACCGGGATGAGGGGGAAGTCCTTGTGTGGCCAGACCTTGGTGATGTCAAAGGTCATCAGGCCGGCCTTCTCGGCCTCCTCAGGCTTCATAACCTGGATGTAGAGACCCCAGACTGGGTAGTTCTTACGTGCGATCGAATCGAACAATTCCGTGGTATGGTAGTCGGCATTGACACCAGCAAGGCGTGTAGCTTCGTCTTCGGAAATATTTTCCACGCCTTGCTCGGGGCGGAAGTGGAACTTGCAGTAGTTGAAGGACCCATCGGCAGCGACAAGCTTGAAGGTGTGGAGACCGAAACCAGTGATGCGACGGACGGACGAAGGGAGACCGCGGGAGCCGAACAGATGAAGAAGACCGTGAACACTCTCGGGGCTGTTGACGTGGAAGTCCCAGAACTTGTATTGACGTGAGCAATTGCGGAAACCCAAGGAGCAGATGTTGCCCTTACCATTGAGGGATCATGTGCGTTAGTTTGAGGGTGCTTCTTGTGGGAGCGGTTGACAGCTGGGAACTTGACAGGATCCCGGACCCAGAAAACGGGCTGTTATGGTTAGTATGACTGCTGCAATTATCTCATGTGGATGTGGTGATTCATACTGTGTGATTGCCAACAATATCGTGGTTACCCTCCTCAGTGAAGAACTTCACACCGAAGCCACGAACATCGCGAACCGTATCGGCACTGCCCTTCTCACCACCAGTAGTACTGATTCTGCAAAGAACCGGTGTCTTCTTGCCAACTCCGTTGAGGAACTTGGCGCTGGTGAGATGGGAGATGTCATGGGTAACTTCGAACTCTCCCCAAGCACCAGCTGCTTTGGCATGGACAACTCTAAACAGAGTCAGCAAACCAAATAAGCCAGTGGTCATTTGTCTGAGGTTACCTTTCTGGGATCCGTTCACGGTTGAAATGAGCCAGAGTCTCGAGAAGTGTCGTGTCAGCAAGAGTGACCAGACTGCCACCACCGAAAGTTGGGAGAGTCGTGGAGACCGAGGGGTCCGAAATAGGTTGCCCTACAAGTACAGCAGTGAGCCAGGGTTGACTTTATTATGTTTTATCAATGAGATCAATGCTTACCCTCAGCCAAAGTGTACTG